CAGCGTCTCCAGTCCCGCCTTTAGCTTCTCCACATGGTCTCGCCCCCTCGCGATTGTGTGAGGAGTCGAGCGTCTGGACTCGAGCAAAAACACAACTCCTCTTCCGCGCGCGCCCCGTCGCCCCTCGCAGCTGGTGCCTCGCGTCCAAACACAGGAAGGACGATAGACGACACCGTCCACAGTGGGCCTGCGCGCCGATAAGTCGCAATCTCACTCGTTCAACTCACCACTCACACCTCACTCACTCATCACCCCGCGCGGTTCCGAGCGAACCCTCGCCGGCAACCGCTCTCCCTCAGTTACTCAGTTACTCGACTGTCTGGTTCGTTCGGCACTGAGTTAGAAGCTTGGGTTGGTTGTCGAATGAGAAACGGTATCCCGTCGGTTGGACCTATCGTTTCCTGTATCCCCGGAGACCACGCGTGTCTGCTACTCGATGGGCTGCCGCCCGATCCCCCTGTTTGCCGCCTCTAATCATCCTCCGCCTCACCGCCTGGTTCTCCTGTCCCGTCTGCCGTGAGGGGCTGAGTGAGAAAGACAACCACACTCCCTCCTCTGCCCTTTGTTTGCCCTCGTCACCTTCACTATCACCGCTCCTTCCCGGCGTTTCGGCGACACAGGAGTGAGTGACCCGGCGATTCGGTAACCCGGCGACGACGCCGCTGCGACGACAATGCCCTTCCGACGACGTCTGGTCATCGCCGGATGCTGCCCGTGAGGACGGTCCTCTGACACTGTCAGACCGCCGATTCACACCAAACTCCCAAGTCTGCGGCTGCCTCGTCGGCAAGGATGCTCGGAAAGCTATTCAGTCTTGGGGCCTCTGGCGCCGGGGCTGCTCCCGCGGCCCAAACATCGTCCCACAAACCCATCTCGTCCCTGGAGTCGGTGCAAGAGGACATCCATACGCGAAACCTGCTGTTCCCCGACCCGCAGGACTTGTACGAGCACCGCCTGAACCAAGTGTTTCCCCTGTCCAGCGCGTCGTCCCTCGGCGCTGCGTCCTCGACAAACGCGTTCGACTACAGCGGCGACATCGAGCTCGACCTGCGAGATGTGCGTATTATTGTCATGCAGGATGCCCTGAGCTCCGTCGCAGCCTCTTTGCTGTATGACAGCCAGACCCCGCCGCCCGCTCCAACCGCTGCCCTGGAGCGCCCTTCCACAACAGCCGGCTCCGCATCGCACTACTCGGTACAGGACGCGCGCCGGGCGCCTACCTCGCCACGGAAGCCCAGCATCAACCACGCGCAGCGTCCCATAATCATTCAGCCCGACAGCCCCAAGATCCGACAGGGTGCCTTCGACAGGAGGCCATCCGTCCATGCTCGCAACCAGGGCTATGCCGAGACAGACTCTCAGCGCACGTGGCGGGAGTACCGCGAAGAGCTGACAACCTTTTCGAGTTGCATCTTTGGAAACTCGGAGCTGATGGCCTACAAGGGCACTTCGACAAAGGTTCATGTTGTTCCGTCCGAAGCCCGCGCAGCCGATAATGCCATGATTCTGGGAGACGGTCGCGGCTCTATCGGCAGGTCAAGCATGAGGTCAAGCAGACTGTCGCAATCCTTCTCCTCCGAGAACATCCCTCCGACCCCCACCATGCCGAGTCGTGTTGCGGAGCGGAAGAAGGTGCTCGTCACGAGGCTATTCCCGGTCTCGCTGCCAATCGAGGAGGATGCCATCAGCTCTCCCAATGGCCCGTCAGTGGAAGACAGTCCCGGATATCCGTTTCCTCAATCTGCCGAAGAGCTTAAGATGCGAAAAAGGAAGAATCAGCCGAAACAAAAACGGACGCCCATGTATGCCGTGGCCTTGGTCATCAATCTTCCGCCTCTTTCGAGCCACCCAACTCCGGCCGCTACAATGCGGTCCGGTTTTCGCGGCCCCGGCTCCTATTCCGAACAAGATTCATTCCCATCTTCGTTCAACTCTAATCGGCCTTCGGGTTGGACGATGGTAGGGCAAGGCACGGGTCTCGATTCTTTCGAGACATCTTTTGGAAGCGATGCGGAAGACCAGATTGATGCCATCACCCAGCACTGGGACATTATAATGAGAACTCTGAGCCGGCTACAGCGGGTTGTCACGCAGACGTTGTATGCCATGCTCAAACAGGCAGACATGTCATCCCCGGATCCCATGCCGGCCAATTTCACCTCCCACAGCGCCAGAGCTTCTTCAATGTCTGGTCGCCGAAGCGAGGATCTGCCGCCGATGAAGCCGTCTAAATCAAATGCCAAGCATATCACGCTGCTTCCGAATTGCCTGCAGGACAACAGGCAGATCGCCACCGAGGTGGATATCGCAAAATCGAGGATAGTTGCCGGCATTCGGGCCACCCGAGTCACCACAGGACAGAACCGATGGCCAATATGGCGTGAAGAAGCAAGATGGGTGGCAAAGTGGGCTGGAGGAAGAGAGCAAGGCTTCTTTTTCTACAACCTCCTAACTGGGTTCCTTGCAACACATACCGATTGGCTTCAAGCCTTGAGTCCCGCGTCGTACCGGCGACGCTTCTATCTCCAACAGAAGGGGAAGCCGGATGAGGACGCTCCGGTGCCTTCAAGGACCATTGTCATATCCCATGACAAGATTGCCGCACGGCGGCTGATCTTTCTGTTATCTGCATTCCTGCCCGCTTCTCAGCAGCTTCCCACTATTCGGCCCCACCGACCAAGCACGCCGGCCTCGTTGGGAACGTTATCACACTCGCCCCCCTCCTTTGTGGTCCCGATTCTCAAGGAAGAATCCCTTCGCCGCAAGATAAATCGGCGGGCTGGGCCCCGACGGACATCACATTCTCGCAATCTGAGCATGCAGTCGCAACATGGGAGGGCAAGTGCTGTCCCTCTGCCTCTAGCGCACCTTAGTATGGAAGGTAGGCATGAGCGGCGAGCATCCGACGCCGCCTCGATCCGCACGACACAGCTGCCAATCCGTGGGGGCGATCCGACCATCCGGAAAAGCAGTGCGGCTACAACTGCAACTATCACACCTGAAACGAGCGTCCCGCACTTTTCATCGGTTCAACGACCTGATCTGTTCTCCCCCGGACGACCCGGAAGCAGCAACAGTATGGCAGCGGAAGACCTGAAGCGGCTCACGCGGGAGGATAGCGTAGGCTCAGGTGGCGAGCCCAGGCAGCACTCTAGATGGGGAAGTGTCATCAGCGGTCTCTGGGGAACGCGCCGGAGGGACTCTGGCGCTGCGTCATTGAAAGGCCAGAGTCCCGGCGATGGCCGAGCTGGCGAACACGGCTCACCAACGAAGCCCCAGTTCAACACCAGCACCCACCCCCCAAGGGGGTCAACGGATACAAGCGCACCATCCTCAGACACGCAACCTGAAGACCCACAAGAACAGCCTGCTGCCGGCGGGGGAGGAGGCGACGCTCCCACCTCTGGGGCGAGCCAGGCATTTGCAGAGCCAACAGACACCCCATCCAAGGTCAAGAGAACTCCAGACCCATCCGGAGCCTTTGAGTCACCAGTGAAGACTTCGATAAATGTCAACGATGGAGTAATCGATGTGGACGTTCCATTCCCCGACTATATCACGTCGTTTGAGACGGCCGTCAGCTCACCTTCCAGCAGCGGCTACCTCTCGACACCAGGATTCGGCACCGGCTTTGATACCTTTGAGCAATCATGCCGTGTCGCAGTGGACGGCGATTCCCCAGTCAACGTAGCCGGATGGCTGCAACAATATCACCCCGACTTTGTACTGCAAGCCCTCCCGTCCCAGGAGGGAATCATCGAACAGATCAAGGCCTCGATGAAAGCCGAGCCATCACCCACATGGATCCCCAACGCTGGTCCTTCAGACCGCGAAACCGAGCGCTGGGTTGACGTCAGCACCGCCCTCGTCGCCGACACCACCACATTCACCATCACCAGGATCCGCTACCGCCGCCTCGTAAGGCTCAAGCCCGTGCCGGACCGCCATGTGCCTGCCGTAGTAGGCTCATACAGCTCTGCCATCCTGACCCCAGCGCCCGCCTCGCCATACGAGGCCCCGATCAAAGAAGAGTTCAGGGAAGAGCCCATCTTTGAACTCGACGACGTCCTCGTTGACGCCGTCGAGCGCGTCATCGCCATGGGGGGCGACCTCAGCAAAGGCGGCTCGGGCGCCTCGTCCAGGTCGACTAGTAAGCGCAGGGAGAGGAGAGATAGTACCTCGACGCAATCCGATGCGCACGCTTCATCGCAGGGCCAGGGGCAGGGACATTCGCTGTCTGCGACGCCGGGAATCCAAGAGGTCCCGAGATCGCAATGTAAGGCGGTGCTGCTGTCAGCGTTGGAGGAGGTTATTAGGGAGGTTATTGAGGAGAGGGAGGTACAGCGCGAGCGGAGTGAGGAGGGGGGGCCGTTTGGAGAAACGACGGGGAGGATTTCTGGGATGGTGAGAGGGAGAGGTATGGAGACGGTGTTGAGGGAGGCGGTGAGGGGTTGGTTGGATGGTGTGGAATTTGGCGGGGAGTGAGTGAGCGTGCGTGCGTGATGTTTGAGCTTTCATTTTCGGTTCGGGTCGGTTCGGTTCGAATGGCTGGATGGATGATACCCCTAATAATACATAGGCCTTGATTTTTGTGTTGTTTTTTATACATGTTTTGCATGGATGGGGGGTTATAGGAGAGTCAGGATGTTGGGACTGCATGGGGATGGTGGGCGTGGAATCAGTCTCATTTGTATGAGTACCGATGGATGGTCTGAGATGTCGGGTAGAGGGATGATGTGATGATGATGGATAGGTTCTGTGTTGAGTATAATACCAGAGGATTGGTAGATTTCAATGAATGGTAGAGCCCGAGGGGAGTTGATACACCTCAGCGAATGAACGAATCTTGGTGAAAAAGGGAGTTACCAACGAACTAGGATGGGATTCGACTTGAGTGATTTTCCCTGTGACATGTACCATCCTCACTTACCTAGCTTGGTTGACAAAACATGGGCAAAAAATATCCAGACACCGCCCAACCGACCAACTGGTCATATTTTCTCTCCCGCCGGGAATTGAACCCGGGTCTCGAGCGATGATTATCTCCAAGCGGAGATGACAAGCTTACATACTGACCACTATACTACGGAAGATAAGAAAGATGTGGGATGTTGCCACCCACTGTAGTTTGGTCAGGTCGTGCTGTGCCTGGGAATCTCGGGAACGGGGAATCGAACCCCGGGCTGCTGAGTGAGAGTCAGCGATGTTAGCCACTACACCATACCCGATTATTGATTGTTGAGACGAAGTGTAGAATGGAGGGTTATGGATTGTGGGTGTGGTGGAGTGAAGGGAAATTTCTTGTTATGGTGTGGAGTTGGGCAGGGATGGGTGGTGGTTGGCTGAAAATTGTCTCATCACTGCAATTTTAGCATCGTTGAAGGGGAGCAAGTGACTGATAACTAGGGACACCTAGAGGCCGCCATCATCAGGGTTAGGGTTCACGAATAGGGGCTGAGTGTTGACATATGACCTGATCCAGACAACAAACTTCAAATCCAGTTACCAACTTCAAGAGAGACCACAATAGTCCATAGACTGTCCCAATAGTTGTAGAAAAGCAACCAGATTGCTACCCAATACCAACGCCCCCATATCGTCCTTATCCCAACCCAAAACCAACCAAGACCCCCTATCCAATGACCCAAGCAGCAGGTGACAAACCATCAAGTCGACTCACTACTCCCTACAACCTTCCTCTCCTCACCAGCCACTTGCATACCCTCACCTCCGCTCTCCCCACTGGACCTCTCTTGAGCCATTGTATAATCATCCTCCCCACTCAGCTCCTCCAACGTCTTTCTCTTCGTCTCCGGAATAAGCGTCGTAGTTCCAATCCCGAGCAACATAAACAACGCATAGATCTCCAACACATGATTCAACCACGGGTTCGCATTCCCTCCAGGCACCGCACCCCTCGTCCTCAGTGGCGCAATAGCGCCCTGTCCGATAATCGACCCGATTTTTCCAGCCGCGGCGGAGATACCGTGTGATGTGGAGCGGTACCGAGTAGGAAAGACTTCACCTGGTACGATGAAAGTTGTAGCGTTGGGCCCGAAGTTGAAGAAGAATTGCGCTAGGACGTAAATAGCGAGTAGCGCGTTGGACGAGAGCTTGAAGTAGGCGAAGCCCATGACTGCGAAAAGTATGGTGAGGATGGCGAAACCCCCAAACTGGATAGGCTTGCGGCCGACGGTGTCGACTGTTGCAACGGTGACCCAGTATCCCGGTACAGCTCCGGCGAGAACGATGATCATGTTTCCGAGGGCGGTATTGTATAGGAATTGGTACGTGGTCGTGGCGCCAGCGGTTGAGTATCCGATTGCTGAGAGGATTGTTGCGTTATTCAGGGAGAGGCCATAGAAGGCAATATCGAGGAAGCACCATGACAGGGCAGTTCTGGGGGAGATTGTGTTAGTGCGGTGTCTCTTTGGTTCCCCAAATTAGAGTGTGGGACGGAGGTCATACCCAACAAGGAGCTTTGCGTTCTTCAATTTGCCATAGTGGCGAAAGAAGTCACTCCAGCTAGCCTTTTGCACTTTCAACTTCTCAGAAGCTTCGCGCTGGGCTGCAATCCGCGCAATTTCGTCTGGCTCGCCCTCGGGTTTGCCCTTCCTGTGGGAAATGTCAGCGATTATTCGTCTTTTTGGGAAAGTTCTATGTGTCTCGGGAACGGCAACTCTTTCTACGCTCCTGAGACGACAGAGAATGAACAGAATTGGTAAAAAATTGCTCTGGTTTCCACTTACATGTAGGCCTCAACGTCGACCCCAGCTTTCTCAACGTCGAGCGCAACGTCGAACGTATACCTAGGGGTCTCGGGAATTGTCAACCTGAAATAAAGCGCAATGCAACCCGGAATCGCGCCAAATCCAATCAGGGTTCGCCACATCTTATCGACGGCGAGGGCGCAAACACCAGTGCAGTTCGCCGGCTTGGTAGATGTTTCCAGTGACTCCTTAAATCCGAGGGTAAGAAATAGCATGACCAGAGCAGCACAGAGCTGGCCAAGGCCTTGCATTGCAAACACTGCTCCCATCATGGCGCCTCGCCATTTTGTTGTAGCGAACTCTGATGTTCTGAGGCTGTCAGTTGGGTCGTATTCTGGTTCGATGCTGATAGTATACTTACATGATGGAACTCAAGGGGTAATCACCACCAATTCCCACTCCCTATGATCAAGTCAGTATGCTTCCTGCAACTTGTTCACGTGGAGTCAACATACCATGAGAACCCGCCAGAAAATGATCAGGCCAATGATGTTGATAGAGGGTGATGACGACGACAATGCCTGACCAAAAGTGGCGAAGATGATGATGATGAGCTCCAGGCCGTACATCCTTTTTCTGCCCACGATGTCGGCTAGGGAGCCAAATACAAGCTGACCAACAACAGTGCCAGCAGATGTCGCGAGTTTGATGGCTGTATCCGAGGAGGTTGGCATCACACCAACGCCGGGATAGTATACGATGCCCAACATAACGGTCAGGAGACTGGCTGTGAAGATGTCGTATGCCTGTAGTTAGTGTTAGAAAAAGCGGCCACTGGTGTGCTCCAAGGGGACGAACATCTGTGAAGAAGCCAATACCCGCAACCACAACGGCGCGGACATGATACCAGCCGAAGGGAGCCTTGTCGATCTCGGCGAGAGCAAGACGTCGACGCTCATTGGGATCTTGGACATGGGCGAATTGGTTGTGGAAATTTGTATAGGCCGAGTTTCCGCCCGCTGTTTTCTGGACGGCCGCCATAGTGTGAGATCCCTCAAGGAAGGTGCTACACTAAGCTGGTTTGTTGGGTTCAAGGTTGAGGAAACCAAGGGGCCGGGCAATGACTGGCCATGGCGATAGGTATTTATTGAGAAGATCCGGAGTAATCACGCCTGTACCTAGCTTCATTGCTGACGGGTGGTACTGGGGGGCAAAATTCCTCCGAGAGCTTGGGATGTGAACTCAAGCATCACATATCCCCGTTCACTCTGCTGCCGGGTTACCTACGGACGTGGGTCCTTGACAAGGGAAGGAGCGGCCCATTCCGCCTAGGCTTCTCGTCCGTCTAGTCGGTTCGGAAAGGCGTTCATGGAAGGGCCTGCAGTCGGGGACTAGCAGCAGCTGAGGCAAGTCAAGCCTTCGGTCAAGCTTTTGGGCCAAGAAGCGAAACCTCCCACCGGGACTATCGAATGGGTATGCCTGGCACAGTAGAAAACGGCAATCCGATCTTGGGTTGGCAAGTTGAGGGTACTTCAAATCTGGTGTGGATCTAGTCATCCGTAGGTACTGCCGGAACTATCAGAGGCAAGAACAGCCATTACTACTTCCCAAACCGCACCGAACAGACAATAAGCTGTCATGGAAGGCAGGTACGGGTGACATGTTGCCGTTACTTTGATGTCATCCAATTCTCCAGAGTGCCTGGCTTACACCGACCCTGCATGCAGACAGGGGCAACGGTAGCCCCACCGTCGCCCACGAATCGCACAAGATCAACGCGGCACGTTTTCCTCTCCCGCCCAGCTGTTTGTCGACCCAACCCTGGAGGACACCATCACGCTCGGGATGAAGAATAACGGGGATACTGCGGCTCTGTCAGCCATCCTCAAAAGATACCGAGCCTGTATCGGCGTGAAGCCTTACGCGTATCTAGCCTTGCGATGATTGCGGATGCACGTTGCGGAGGCTCTGGCTCTGGTAGGACAGCTTTGTCGGCTGTAGTCGTCACAGGCCTGCCACAAGAACTCCCTCTCCGTATACCAACTCGCAGCAGTGCTGCCATCTCCAGCTACGCTCTACAACTTCAGCAAGGTGCCGCGTGCCTCACCTTCACTCTCAAAATTCGATCATAGAAGATGGCCGTCCCAAGGAGCTGGTCGCCGGCACTTGGAAGCCTTGGCCATCGCTTGGCCATCTCTTGGCAATCGCTTGGCGTTCCTCCTCCCGCCTGAACGCCAACCACAAATCACCTACGACATTCCTTCACGGGTACGGTAATCGTAAGTTTGCCCGAAACTACATCGAGAGACCAGGGGGAAAAAAGCCCTTTTCCTGGTCAGTTTCAGATCAAAACTCAATCGCTTGACAACGTGCTACGATGGCCACTTCCCATTGGCCAATCGTTTCCTGGGATTTTCTTACTGAGCTGCCCTACTTACCGAGTCAACCAAGCGCTCCGACCACATGGTTGAAGACCGAATGTTATTTCCGCTCCCATTCAAGTCCAAAACAGGATGTTTCGACGACCAAGCTCCAGGCATATAGAACCAACCACATACCGCAATAGGACCACGGGCAGCCCAGATAGCTTGCGATATGTCGACGCATTTGACCACCCGAGACAAAGTTGAGCTTTTGCAAGCTCGGATTTCGGCAAACCGGCTCTCTTACGTATTTGGCAATCATGTCTTCATTCGCTGCTCCGGGGATAATCGGGGTTATCGGCGCCGTTTGTGTTCGAATCGTCCCCACGGCCAATACAAAGCGAAAGGGATCCCACAAACAAGCGAGGACTGGAAACAACAGCGCTGCCAACCGGTGCTGAGGTAGGTCGTTCCACCGTGAGATCTGCGTAACATGCAGCAGGGAAATCTTGCAGGTGTTTGCAAGACTTGGTTCCGCGGAGGGCACTGGCGTCTTGTGCCTTCACGTCCAGTCCGCCCTTCCACGGACCCTGCATCCGTTTTCACGTACCCTGTAACGGGTGCCCCTGACGAACAGGATCGCGACCGCCTAGCCGCAACCAAACCACCTCAGGCTCCCTTCAAGCATAAACAACACACAATCACGTTTCCAGTTATCACACTTGACCCCATCCGCGATTCATTCATACTTCAACTACCTTATCATCTTCATCATCCACCACCCCTTCTATCCTCCCCATTTCCCGACCCGTCTCCTCCTCATCCCTCATCAACATATTCACCAACCTCTCACACACCTCCTGAACCCCCTCATCTTCCACCCTCGCGTGCGTCTCCCTAATGATCGGATACACCTTCACCGCCCTCATCAAATCCCTGCCCGCCCGCGTGCTCGTCAACAGCGTCAACGTCTCCACGTGCGTCTGAATGATGGTAGCATCCCGATCCCGCTGCTTATCC